GCTTGAGCGGCGTCGCCGTCGCCGTCGCCGTCGCCGTCGCCGTCGCCGTCGCCGTCGGCGTCGCCGTCGGCGTAACCAAGGTCATCCCAAGGTCACGTGACCCCCAAGGTCACGTGACCCCTCCAGGTCACGTGACCCCTCCCAAGGTCATCTCAAGGTCACGTGACCCCACGTGACTCCCAAGGTCACGTGACCCCTCGAGGTCACGTGACCCCTCCCAAGGTCATCTCAAGGTCACGTGACCCCAAGACCCCACGTGACCCTTTGAAGGTCACGTGACCCCCAAGTCACGTGACCCCTCTGAGGTCACGTGACCCCCGAGGTCACGTGGTCTCCTCCCCAAGGTCACGTGACCCCTCCCAAGGTCATCTCAAGGTCACGTGACCCCAAGGTGACCCCCACGTGACCCCCAGGTCACGTGACCCCTCTGAGGTCACGTGACCCCCCGAGGTCACGTGACCCCCCTCCCCGAAGTCACGTGACACCCCCCCCCCCCCCCCCCCGAGGTCACGTGACCGCCCCCCCGGAGCATATTAAAGAATGAGGGGAGGAGGAGGGGTCTACCCTCCCCTCAGTACCCTTCACTCCTCCTCCTCAAGAGCTGCGCTCCAATTCGGCGTTACAGGGATTTGTAAACGGCTTTCACTTTTTTTCTTCTGCATTTTCTTGTCAACACTGCCAGCCTACGCAGAACAGGTTTGTGCTTAAATCTCCCAATTTGACAAAACTTATCGTGTTTTTTTTTTTTAATTTTCTCAACACTTTTTTTGTGTATTTTATTGTATTTAGCCCGTTTTTATGGAGGGCCGGCCCACTATTCAAACGGAACAACCAATTTCTCGTTGGCAGTCGATCATACATACGACTCACGACCCCACATCAACTCTCGCTTTTACTTTCAAGTAATCTAAGAGACGTACACTTTTCGCAAGTGGATTTTTTTTTGTTTTTTTTTGCAGTGCGGAACAATATGCAGATTTTTTCATAGTTGTGCGAGAGGTGTAGTTTTAGTGAACAACGGTTGGGGCAAAAAACGTGCGACAGAAACCATAATTATACGCCACTTCAAACAAATCGACATACATCTGACTTCGAGCAATTCTGCCGATATTCCATCCCGCCAACGAACAATAACGCTAAGAGTGATACTATATTTTTGATAGAAGAGAAAACTTCGTGACTGTTCTGGTAAAAAAAAAAAAGAAAAAAAAGTAAACTTTCGCAAAACTTTAGCGTAGGTTCTCAACGAAGGAACTATTGTCAAAAGGACAAGACTTTTACTCAAAAAAATAAACTCAGAAATGCTTAAAATTTCTTAATTTTGGCGCAACTTCTTCCTTAATCCCTCCAAACACCATCGCATTAACGATGGTAGTGCCCTACATATGTTGGCAAGGACGAACTTAGCGTAGGCCTATACTGGAGTGTTCACTGGATTTGTTCGAGTGGCAAGGACACACACTGGACGAGAGGAACACAAAAATCCAAAAGAAGGCGCAACTTAAGTGCGTCTATCCAGGACGAGACACACGCACACATATACAAAGAAGAAAAGACAACGGGCCAATGCAAGCTTGAGGCGCTTAGCTGGGGGGCACTTTCAGCGGGGCTTCCCTTTCGCAGCAGCAGCAGCAGCAGCGGGAGCGGGAGTGCCGTTCTCGCCAAGTCTCGAACAAATGAGATTAGTCGTTAGGACCAGTGTGGCCAAGCGCGAGTCACTTGAGTTGGAGTGCCGCGTTGACGGGAACGATGACCGCTCCGTCTACACTACACTAAGGGCACTTTTGTCATCGACGCCTTTCCTTGTGCGTGCGCGAATTAACAACCCGCGCTTCCTGAGGTAGACGATATATATGGGAGTTTTTATCTGGTGAATTGCAAATGAATTTGACGCAATCGCTAGTGGGCCTAGGGGCTTGTATAGTGTTACGTTAATATACAGAATTGAAATAATGTACGATTGTTGGAAGCGGGCGTACGATTTGGGCGATTCACCCGAGATAATGAAGAGGTATTCGCATGGGGAGGCTTTTCGGGGGAATATGCGTGACGTCAGTGATTGGCGGTGCCAGCGGGACTCCCTCCGTGACTCCAGCATTCACACGAATGGCGGGGATAGATGGACGTTACTGGTAGTGGGCGGTAGCTTGCGCCACCTAGAGGGATATCAGTGTTGTCTCATTTAGCGGTCGCACTCTCAACAAGAGTTCGGTGCGCGCTAACGAGAGTAGCAAAACATGGAGGCGTACATGAAACGATGATACGCGATTATGGCAGCAGCGCTGTTAAATGCAGAAGACGACGTATTGTGTTCTGCTTAAAGAAATATGCTTGCTGAATGGGTGGATGCAACACAAAAAAACGTGGAATCAAATATCGGTTACATTAGATTAGGAGCGTCTTGAGGACGGTATTGACGAATATCGAAGACTCCTTTGGCCAAGCCACAACAAGTTAGGCGATCCCGATGCTACCACCGGCGTCCCGCTGAGCAAAATTTGTAAAGTTGCCAGACACGTGAACAAAACACCGCCAGTTTCGAAGATATCCCACGCCAAGGAGGGTGGAGTGTTTTTGCAGCCCGATCCTCCCTGAGATGTCAACGTCAGCGCGGCTCCGCGCGAAACCGTTACGTTGTTACCACGTGATGTGCATCCGCGCAGGAGAGCAAAAAGAGAGATTTCTCGCTCGTGTGGATAGCCGATGAATATCCCTTTACGGAGCAACGATCTGCTTAATATGTATGATTGCATGTTTAAGTGAATTCAAACTGTTCACAATCACCATTTAAAGCGTATTGCTCTATTTATTTGAGCACAAGTTGATTTTTTTAAAGAAATCGGCACTCTGCATACACTAGGCCTAACCGTTCACCTTCACTAAACAACAATATATGTTAACTGTATACAGCTGTGAGCAAGATGGTAAGAAATGCTATGTTCCCAAGCTGCCTGCAAACCGCTGCATGCTTTCACATTACTGAGCTGTAAAACCAAAAGAATGTTGACATATTTCATGCTCATTACAATTTTCCTTTTATAGAACGCATCGATCTAGCACTGACTTGAAAATAAAAACAGTACACTCACTTTTTTACTTAGCTTACTGGTAGTATTTATATTTCGTAATAGTTAGGATCGCGGGGGACGTTCTTAATGTATATTGAATTAAAAAAAAACAGCCGGTGTTTTTTGGGTTTGGTCCTAAGTTTAGCAGTCCACTTGTTTCGAGAATCGTGAAGTAATATTTTGTAAAGCCAAGCTTCAACGAGGCCAAGTTGATTATTGTACGGAATCGATCACGCCTCTATAATACCCGTGGTCGCATCGCTGGTGTTGTCGTTCTTCGCCGAAATGGGAAACAATATACCGTATCATGTAGGTTCAACTACGGTCTCTTCTCTCTTCAGGAACATGTGGTTGGGCCCAGCGTATATGTCCATATTTGTTTTAGTTTTGTAATAGAAACATAGGAGCCCATAGCTTCATCCATTGGTATTGAGAGGACTGCTCATTTCTCCCTCCAACCCCTTCTACAGCTCGGGTCCAAGTCTTGGAGAGATTATCTCTGGCATCACGGCAGCGTTTTGCAAACATGCGCCATGCTGACACACTGATAAGCCGACAGACGGATGTCTGCTTCTCCCTACGAAGTCCAACACGTGATTAAAACATTGAATGTTTGCGTGCCTATTCTCGGTAAGCGCAGTGACATGAACAAAAACAACACCAACAACAAAAACATAGGTCAGAAAACATTTTCTAATTTGCGTTGTCATCCGTTCGCATTCTACCTATAGTGAGCAAAGGCTTTGAGTGTGAGCCTTTTGCTTTGTGGTGTGTAAATGACTGCTGTAGGTTTGCAGGCACACGCCTACCGTCTCGCTTGCACGGCAGCTTTACGATTAAATGAACCTTATATCTATAATGTAATATTCACTACGCTTACTTTCGTATTGAAGTAGCAGTGATATGAAGGCTCTGAGCATCAACTCTCTGTTTTCAAAGTGCCTACCGAAGTTCTGAGCTCGCACTTACAATCTCAGTCCCAGTTCTACTTTGAAGCGCGATGCAGCGGCCAAAATGACAAATATATAGGTAGGATTTTTTTTTTTAAGCCTAACAGGTTTGTTTAGAAAGAGGGACATAGTATAAGGGGCTAATCATAACGATCAGTCGTCTAATTAAATAAAATTCGGTAATAAACTTTTTTTCGTTAGTGAAAATAGACATATGGTTTCAATTAGAAACTTGCTGGGCGTCATCGAAAACTACTAAATCAACTCTTTTTTAGAAAGATATAAGGCAGGGGCAGCATTTTGTGGCGTCCCGTAAAAACGCTCAATTTGGACGCGTTTCTAAGTTTTGGTTTTTGTATCGGAGCCATCTCTGCGCCCGCGGTCCTCCTCTCCAGTGGCCAAGGGCGCATCACACGTACGCCATACTTCCCTCTATCCTAGGAAGGATGCGAGGCATTGGCTTCGCGCCGCCACCACCAGGGTGCAGGACCGTGGGCGTTAAGATGTGCTCTGATAAGAAACCAAAACCTGAAAACGCGTCCAAATTAAGCGTTTTTTTTTTTTCAGAACGCTGTAAAATGCCTGTTCCGGCCTTATATTTATTTTTAAAAAGAGTTAATTTAGTGGTTTTCTAAAACGGTCAGCAAGTTTCTAATTGGAATCCTATGTCTATTTGCACTCATCAAAACTTAATTAACATAATTTACTTAATTAGGCGACTGGTCGTTATATTTAGTCTGCTGTACTGTGGCCCCCTGGCCGTATAACTCCACTGCATAAATCACATAAGTGTAGCTATCACGGTTTTTTTAAACAAATTTGCAAAGCTTGAAAAAAAAAATCTTCTGATTTGACATATTAAGGCGTTCTGATGCTACGTCTCGTGAGTGACGCGTGTCTTGTCGTGTCGCTAACAGTGTACCACGATGCTTGTTTGCTGTTACCAGGAGCGGAGGCCATGCCGACCTGAAGGCGACAGAGCATGTACTACCACGGAAGCAACAGCCGGGGTACCTTGGATGTGGAAAACCGGGTGGTGCTGAACGTGGGTGGCATTCGCTTCGAAACCTACAAGACTACCCTCAAGAAGATCCCGGCCACTCGGCTGTCCCGATTGACCGAGGCCCTGGCCAACTACGACCCGGTGCTCAACGAGTACTTCTTCGACCGACATCCCGGTGTCTTCGCGCAGATCCTCAACTACTACCGCACCGGGAAGCTCCACTATCCGACCAACGTCTGCGGTCCACTCTTCGAAGAGGAGCTCGAGTTCTGGGGCTTGGACGCCAACCAGGTGGGAGAGCAGCCTAAACTTTTATAAGTTATCTTCACCGAGTTCAATATTCTTTTAGAGCGCAGCTCTTAGGCGCCCGTTTCCGGCTTGAGCGGCGTCGGCGTCGGCGTCGGCGTCGGCGTAACCGCGCGGTGCATTATGGGAAATGTCCCATAATGCACCGCGCGAGCCCCCACCCGGGGTCACGTGACCTCATGAGGGGAGGGGGGCACGTGACCCCCCGAAGTCGCGTGACTCCCCTGAGGTCACGTGACCCCCAGGTCACGTGACCCGCCGAGGTCACGTGACCCCCGCCGATGACGTCATCGTCACTGATGACGTCACCGGCATCCGCATCGCCATCATCACTGATGACGTCATTAGTGACGTCACTGGTGACGTCACCGGCATCCACATCGTCATCGTCATCATCACTGATGACATCATCAGTGACATCACTGATGATGTTACCGACATCCGCATCGTCATCGTCATCATCACTGATGACGTCATCAGTGACGTCACTGATGTCGTCACCGGCATCCGCATCGTCATCGTCATCATCACTGATGACATCATCAGTGACGTCACTGATGACGTCGTCGACATTCGCATCGTCATCGTCATCATCGCTGGTGTAGTCATCAGTGACGTCACTAATGACGTCATCGGTATCCGCATCGTCATCGTCGCTGATGACGTCATCAGTGACGTCAGTGATGACATGTCGGCATTGTCATCGTCACGTGACCCCCAGGTCACGTGACCCCCCCCTGGTCGGTTGAACTCCCCCCAGTACCCTTTCCCCCTCCTCCTCAAGAGCTGCACTCTAATTCGGCGTTACAGGGAGTTGTAAACGGCTTTCACTTTTTTAGTACCAGTGGTAGTTTAACACGTTTATAGGGTTCAAAATAGTGCGACCGTACTCTTCGCCTGTGGCATTTCAGGGAGGCTACAGTACTACGAGACAAAACTTCGAGATGCCAACAAACGTTACTGTAGAAGTGAGTGAGGAGATCCTAAAATTGTTCGTTTATAAAAAGACAGAGAAAAAAAAAGCCGCATTATAAAATGTGGTTGACATGAGGCTCCAGCCTTGAAAAGACATCAGTCAGAACCTATCAAAAATTTGTACATATAATGGCACATCGAATTCACTGTCAAACCTCTAGGTTGATAGCCTACAGGTCGTGCTTGACACGTATCTCGTCGAAGCCTTCTCTCTTAGCATCTTTCATTTATTCATTCATTCATTCATTCATTTGTTTATTTTTTTGTGCTCATGAACAGCTTGAAGCCTTGATAATGATGCACAATTAACATACAGCAAAAAGAAGAATAATTCTACAAATTGACAATAGAAAACTTGAACGCTGCAAAAGATGGGTTAAAAATGTCAATGCAAGAATCATTTAAAGTATTATACAGGGTCTGAATACGTGTCATGGGGCAGGTTCAGAAGAATTCATTAACATAAAATGGAAGAGAAATTCGCAAAAATTTTCTCGGGACATGAATATTTATCGATGAAGTTAGTTCAGAGCAATCAATGACTCCGTGAAGGCGTTTGAACAAAAATATAAGATCTCTGTCGCGTCGTCTAGCTGGCACTCAAAGTAAACAGTGCAACCAACATAGCGGTCGTAAAAAATTCGAAAACACACAAGAGGGCGAAACAGACGACACAGCTTTTCGAAAGCTGTGTCGTCTGTTTCGTCCTCTTGTGTGTTTCTTTCGTTTTAAGTCAATGTAGATCACCAGCACGCTCAAGTCTTTAATTCTCTGTCGTTATTCAAATTTCTTTGAACATTTCTAAACGTCCTAAATATTGTTGAATAAAGCGTGACAGTAAGTAGCACGAATAATATTATTCGGTAGGCTTGTAGAACCTGGCTCACTGCCGCGTCCAGGAGGCCATGAACAAAGCATGGTGGCTTAACGTTTACCTTTGTCCGAATTTTTACTTTATTCAAGAAAGAAACGGTGTGCTACCTTGACTGAAATGGTTGTTTTCCAGAAATAGTCTGACTGCGTTCATGGCCGAGTTTGGGCGATTGTCATATGGCAATGGCGAAATACCGAAAAGTATGAAGCGTGTTCGCTGGGATGTGAGTGCATTTCCATGTTTATTGTTAGTGTATGTGTAAATGCGCGAGTATGTAAGTGTACGGAGAAAGCTGATCGAGCACCGGACCCATGCTTTCTCTCGCAGAAGTTGAAATGTAGAGGCTTCGAGTGCGGGCTTCCTGAGATCAAAATGGTTGAAGTAAGATCGTTCGTTTGGTTATTTTCCTGCATGTCGATGCGCGCTAATTGGTGCTCAATGGGTACAGGTGGAGCCCTGCTGCTGGATGACGTACACCGTGTACCGCGACACGCAGGCCACCTTGGCCATCCTGGACACCCTAGACATAGAAAACGAGAAGCCCAGCGATGAAGAGCTCGCGCGCAAATTCGGCATTGAGGAGGACTACTTCGCGGGCAAGCTGTCCTGCTGGCAAAGACTCAAGCCTCGCATCTGGCTCCTATTCGACGAGCCGTACTCGTCGCTTGCTGCCAAGATTATGGCGGTCATCTCCGTGTTCTTCATCTGCGTGTCCATCCTCTCCTTCTGCCTTAAGACGCACCCCAATATGCGGGTGCCCGTCATCGTGAACCGGACGGTGACACAGCGCAACACGACCGCCTGGACCTTGGACAAGACCAAGACGGACGCGCACGACGCTTTCTTTTATGTGGAAAGCGTATGCAATGCCTGGTTCACCTTCGAGATCACAATCCGCTTCGTAGTGAGTCCGCGCAAGCTAGACTTTGTGCGGGCGCCCATCAACATCATCGACTTCATCGCCACCATGTCCTTTTATTCGGACATGCTGCTGCAGCATCTTGCTGCAGACCTAGAGAACGCCGACATCTTAGACTTTTTCTCCATCATTCGCATCTTGCGGCTGTTTAAGCTCACGAGGCATTCGCGGGGCCTCAAGATCCTTATTCACACGTTCAAGGCCAGCGCCAAGGAACTCTTCCTACTCGTCTTCTTCCTGGTGCTGGGTATCGTTATATTCGCCAGTCTTGTATACTACGCCGAGCGGCTACAGGCGAACCCGAGGAACGACTTCACCAGCATCCCCGAGGGACTCTGGTGGGCCATAGTGACAATGACCACGGTGGGCTACGGCGACATGGCGCCTCGGACCTACGTGGGCATGCTTGTGGGGGCTCTGTGCGCCCTTGCCGGCGTGCTCACCATCGGCCTGCCCGTGCCGGTGATTGTGTCCAACTTTACCATGTTCTACTCGCACACCCAGGCGCGAGAAAAATTGCCCAAGCAGCGTAGGCGCTTCGTTGGGGAGCCCAATTCTGGTGCAGGGCCGGCACCAGCACCGGCCGTGCCTCAGACGCGGCGGATGAACGCCATCAAGCACCATCACCACTCCAGGGAGTTTGCCAACAAGCCAGGTACTTGACAGGGCTTTCGTGAGTAGTTCCCCATTCACTCGCTTTATCGCACCTTCCTTGCACTGTGTGTGTTCGTTCAACGTCCAAATTGTGCGTGTCTCTGAAACTAAGGTGATGTGTGACTCAGTCTCTAGGCGAGAGAGTGGCCTCATTCCGGACATCTGACAGGGGTACAGGTCTTTACGGTGCAGGTGTCTGTCTAAAGATACTGACGTTGGGCCATCCTATGACGCGATGTAACGTTCTCTTTTCCCAGGATCACGTGAAATGCTTTCTCCTGACTCAAGCTCATAGTTTTGTTGGGTGCTTCACCACCACGTTTGTATACTCTAATACTTTGTACTGCACTTGTAATAGCACGTGGTTTCTTCATTTTGCGCTGCAGAGAGTTGTAGTTTTTTAGAAAAAACAACAATGAGACTTCCGAAAATTTAAACATGGACATTGTGAATAAGGTCAAATGTCCGTTCTAACTCACCATTTTTAGTGATTATTTTTTTAAATATCATAAGCTGCTTAAAATTGCTATAAAACTGTAAAACAAATCCTGTTGATAGAGCCACATTGGCAGCCAAAGGCTGGCAGATTCTCTACTTCATAATTTTTAGTAATAAAACTTTTTTAAAAAATCCCAAGGCGGTCAAAGCTGCTAATAAAACTTAAAAAAAAAAAAAAAACGCTTTTGATAGTGCTACATTAGCAGCCAGAGGCTATCAGATTTCTAAGAATCTAGGCTTTTTAGCAAAAGTTTGGCTGCGGCTACTCAGCAGTCATATAGTTTCTTTTCGTATGAACTGGAGCTATAAGGTCCCAAGAAACGATTCACAATCCAAAACATGACACATGCAAAAACGTGCCTATCTCAATATTCTAAAAATTTTGAAAGTATGGCACTGGGTTCTTATCTGAGTAACTATCCAAAATTTGCTATTATCCAAATATTAATGCAAAAAGTAAATGAAAGAAAAGTCCTTAATTCAAGATGCGCTTGATGAGGTGCGTTTTGTTGCAAATATAAGCAGCATTCGCTATTACAGGATTTTAATGAGACGTTAAGCACTGTAGCAGTGCGCGTAGAATATTTCATCTAAAATAATACGAGACCGCCCGTTTCCTTTTTTTTTTTAATACGTCAGTATGCATATCTATTGAAGGTGCATAGTGGCCATCGTCATATTTTTGTACGTTGTTCCCGCTCCTGATGAACTGTGAACGAAAGGCACTAGAAAAGTGTCCGTCGAACGACGGCAACTCCGTTGATCAAACGATAAAAACTACCAATAGCGTCAATTTCTTCGACTATTGTCTCACATTTTATGTTTTCTAAAAGTGGCGTCCTTTAGAAACATATGCGCAGAGCTAAATGTTCATTTCACATGTTGCTATATCCACGTTAGACATTTTATCCCTGGGGAGTGGGGAAAGATGGAACAAAGCCACCTGAAACTCCAACAAGCCCCTCGTCACGAAACCCTACGTTACCCGCACGGCGTACCAATAAAGCCAAGATGAAAAGCCCGCGCTCACAGGCAGAAGCAGCGAACATCAGGACTGACAAGTTGGTTTCGACTTACCTAGAGAGCTTGCAGAAATTTGGATCCAGCTTTTGTTTCGTTTTATTTTCCTTCCGATTGTCTTTATCTGCGCTTGCTGAATTACAGCTTTGTCGATTAGAAGCATCCGGGGAACTTACTGAGCGGCCAAAAGCGAAGTACAACGGTTTCATTCAGTGAGCGTTGCGGTTTGTTTAGACTGCTTCTCGCCAGAAAATGTACGCTTGACTGCAGCTCCAGCTGCACGCCAGCCTATATATATATCTACCACAGAGTCATTCTTGAACTCTGACTGAAGTTTGACTGTTCTGTTTCTGGGTCCATGCGGTTCTCGTTGTTCTCGCTCTCGAGACCCCTCGTACCTTTTCTAGCATCCCAAACTGGAATGCGGCTGTGACTTGGATTAGTGCCTCTAAGACTAAGAGGGTTTCTTTGTTCTCAAACAAACAAACAGGCACGCACACACGCGTTCTGACGCACATAACCCTATAGACACACGCACGTACGCATGATTGAGCACACGGGGCATTTTAGCTAGCTGCTGCCAAGGCTTAAAAAAAGCTGGTGCGTCGAACCAACGCAGTATTGTTCACGCTCCTACAAATCCTTTTTCAAAATGCGGTGCCATCTGGTGGCTTAAAAAGCAGTTTCGCTTTAGACAAACTCATGGTGGTCTTGAAACTGCATTGCATCGGGCACCGTCACTTTCCCACGTCCACAACGGATGTGAATTGGTTCTTTGATCGCCTCGTACTTCTCTCTTGACTTCTTTTAGTTTCGATGGTGTGAACACAGGAATGAACGAGTACAAAGCAACGACCGACGATCCCCATCGATTTAACCTTTGCCACCAAAAGTCTTTAGAAGCAAACTTGTGCAAAATATTGATTGAACCACACGCTGAAATAAACGCGTACGCGGCCGTTGAATCTAAATCGTGCGTCGTGTTGTGTACTGGCGTCTCGAACGTGCATGCCTCATATATCATCCGCTCAGTAGTGTCTTAACGCTGTTCCTTCATCAGCCTCAAGAAGGCCGCCATTAGTGTGGCGCAGGTGCCATCAACGTTCTAAGATCTATAAGTTGACAAGCTCCACGAAAGAGCGTTGTTCAAAAACGGTCCTCCTCGTTGCCCGCAAGCGAGCAGGTATGGGGGCATAGAGATCCCTTGGCGATAGCGATCCTAGCGCCACCCGCGGCACCGCGCCCACGTGCAATGCGTAACGCAAGTTCGTCTGGTTCGTGCCAGTGCTTGCGAAGATATCAGAATGCCGAGCTCTTATTAGTTGATTGAAAAAAATAAATACTGGGCAGACCTGAAGGCATGTAGCATTGAAATCTACTCACTATTCTTTCAATCAAAGTCAATCAGAGCTTGTCGTCATTTTGACGTCACCGCCACTCCTGCAGAAGCAGACGACTTCCTCCCGCGAAAAAATTATCGTTTTTTTTTTTTGTTTTTTTTTTGACGACGTTTTTTTTGTTTTTTTTTTTGCGCAGTTTTTTGCGCGTATTTTATGCTCATCATTTTAACCACGATACAATCACTTTCATCGCAGGCACTGTGTATTCAACGTTCCACCGCTTCTGTCACTCCTTTCCATAGGCCCGTAGCTCTCAAGAAGATTGGTTCCCTACTCTCAAGTTTTGAGCAGCGCCTCAGGAGAGAAAAAAATAAATATTTGTGGCTCGCGTTTCGTACATGCGTCATTACGCTTCCTCACTAGTTTCTTATATTCTCCGTTCCATCGCAAGTGCCAGCGCAGCAAAGGCTATGAGAGCAACGGGCCTACGTGGGCTGGGCTGATAGTGTAGCAAACGCTACCGAGTGGACGCGCTTAGAAAAAGCGCCATACGTTCTGGGAAGCTTGTTAACTGATTCTATCTGGTAACGTTCGGTGCCATACACTCACGGATAAATGGATGGATGGATGTTACTGGCCATGCCCTTTGTAGCGGGCGGTAGCTTGCGCCACCTAGCCTAAGCCTAAGAGGATGATAGTGATCAAAGTTGCCAGCTCGAATTTTGAAAAAAGAATCTATTTAACGAACCAGATCTCTTTTCTTCGATGTGCTAACATGTTTCATTAACACGAATGAATTAACTAACTTCTGAAATATAATTTTTCTATGCACATTCTCCAATACAAAAGGTGTAGAGCGTGTTGAGAAACATCCCATCGTGTCAATTCCGTCGAGGTAGCCTTCGTGAAACTCCCTATATAAATAGAGTTTCAGACGATACCTTGGCCTCATCTGGAGCTACGAAGAGTACAGTACAGCGCACGAATGGAATCTCTTCTTCAGAAACGCTAAAAGTTTGGCCGCTTTTCTCGTTCAAGCCTCGACGAAGCCCGTATGGCCTCATCACGTAGCTTTGTCATGTCGTCCGTCATGTCCAGTTCGTTGGAGGCACGTCCCAGAAAGGAACAGTGTCGAGCGCCCTGACAGCGTATACGGGGGTGGCAACCCTACTTTGTATTCAGAGACCATATGCTCACGCGTGGAAGCGCGGTCATCATATATAAAAACAAAAAGACACACGAAAAAAAAAAAAAAAAAGAAAGCTTGAAGGACATGTCGTTTCTTCTGGTCTGATCACATAAAAGTGCAATTCTGTTTCAAGCGGCGCCGGACACGGACCAACACCGCGTAGAACATAAGGCTTGACGTCGTCGTCTTTAGTGAATTCGCGACCCACCCCCAAGCGGCAAAGAATCTGGAGCTCGGCGAAACACACCGGAAAGGGGAAGACGCGATTGTCTTGGCGTCACTGGGTGTTAGCGTCGCGCTCGTTGTCAGGCGCCACGAGACACGCTGGTGCTGATGCTGAAGCAAGCTAGGCGACGTTGCGTTGATCCACTATGCGGATCACAAGTTCGTCTGCTTTTTTCGCAGAGGATTGGAGGATAGCGTGTAGGTCACGTCAGAACGCCGATCTCTGATTGGCTCTCATTGGAGGATAGTGAGTAGACATCAAGGCCGTGAGGTCTACCCACTATCCTTCAGTCAGAGCCAATTAGAGCTCGGCGTTCTGACGTCACCACAACCCCTGCGAAAGAGGCAGACGAATTTGACTCCGCATTGATGACGTTCGGGGGCGAAAGTTGTAGTGCTTCTCGTCTAGGCGTCTTTGCACGCTGACTGAGCGAGTGTGGAGAGCACGGAAGACGGGGGCCAGTGCGAGCGGCGTTGTTGATGCGATGTGTCTTTAGTGAGAGTCAGAAGGAAACCAAGATGAGCGATAACGTGGGAGGCACCGAGTGAGTGTAAGGGAAGACGTAGGAGACGGAAGAGCGGCGTCGTAGTAATTCGAGGAAGGACCGATCGATAAAGACTATGTAGTTGGCGCGTCGGATAGCGCGGCCACTTTTCCATTGAAATGGAGAGGCCGAGGAAGGGATGAGGCTGTAAACGGAAAGTAAAAACGTAGAAGGGTTGAAAGGAATAAAGCCGTAATCAAAT